AGGGTAGGTAGAAGCCTCAAAAATAATGCCACTCCTCACAAATGGCAGCTGGTTAATGGAGAGAAACTGAGCTTATTGCCACTGCTGGGAAAGGGTAGAATTCATGTGTGGCAGAGCCGGCTGCGCAGCGCAGCATCCTGGCACTCACGGTGTTTGCTGGCTCTTGCCTGGCGAGGCAATGCCTTGAGGAGTTGAGGGGAGAGCAGAGCTTGGCTTGTGCTGGTAGATAGAGGGGGAAAAGGAGACAGAGCGAAGAAATCTTTTGAAAGACAGACTTCATTTGTTGATTCTGTGAACCAGCCCGTTGAGTAGATACAGTAGCAGTATATTGGGGGTATTTTCTCTCTCAGGGTTTTGGAGATAGAAACCACATTGTAATGCTGCCTGACTCTTTTGTCCAGGCAAGGCTCTAGTTACCAGCTGCACTTCGACATGTTTCTGTGAAATGTGACTTGTTAATGCAAGCACATAAGCTGTTATTTGCTGCAAAAGGTTAGAAGAGACAAGGTGGTACATAAGGTCAATATCTGTACTACATACCCGTGATCTAACTGTGTCACAAAACTGGTTTTTTTCTTTTTTTTGGATCCATGGGATTTTATATTATCTTGTGGAGAAGTTGACCTTTTTTTTAGAAGTACAGATGAGGTTAAAGCTAAATTAGATGACCTGATCATGACAATAGAACAATTTTAAATAGAAGTGAATTTATGCATAATATTAAGAGATACTTTTTTCAGAGTTTGACATAGTTTTTTAAAAAAATATTAAAATTAATTTCAGATTTCAGGTTTTGTTTCTCTTTCTCTGTTTCAAAGTGAATAGTTTATGTATTTCAATTTTTTCTTAATGAGGAGGAATTATTTATTGCTCCATTTTTATTTCAAAGACAAAGCTGAAGACATTTAATCTAAAAGATGCCTTCCTAAAAATATAAGTAAAACTTCATAAAATAAAATGCTTGAAAAAAGTTTTGCAACCTTTGTTGTAGCCAAGGTTAATACTCACTGGAATTCAGAGGTTGTTAACTAACATGTGTGATTGCTATAAAATAACCATCGTAACACCTCCTTTAAAATTAACCTGAATGCTTTAAAATAATAAATCCTCATAGTAGGAGCAGATTGTGTTTCTCCGCAATAATATCTAAAAAACACCGATGTGTGTGTGAGGAAAGGGCATCTGTGTGTTACGGTTTGGTCTGATGTCGAAAATTGTTTAAGCTACAACAGTGAAGCCGGTAACGACAGCAGGAGAGGTATGAATTCAGCTCTCCAGGTGTCATCATCATATATGCTTTTACTTTTGAAACTTGTTTTACACCACTTTACTAGCCCAGTTAATTGCTTCATTGCTCTGTGATGAACTGTTATATTGGGCAGAACTCCTTCTTCCAAACATCCTACTTCAAGAAATAAAATCCTTTAAATATGAAGGTGTTTATGGCTTGGTTTATACATAATTTTAATTTCAAAAGGCATACTCTTACATATATTCTTTAATAGACAGAGAAGTTAGAGAAAGCTAGCATCTTGAGTATATGCATGTTTGTCTCCAAGGTAGTAAATTGTGTAGCTAGCACAGGAAAGATGTTGTCCTTAGAGTAACTTATATTTTTACAATCATCCTGAAATTGTACTGTACATAATAAAAACTGGTCAGCGCTAGGTAGCATCTTTTTCACATAAATAGAAAAAGAAAAGAAAGACCAAGAGAAGAGTCACTGAAGTTTGAGAACACAAAAAGGAAACCTTATCGACCAACATTCTAAGATACTTGTAATAGTGTTTCCACTCAATGTGTTAAAAATACTATCTTAAATCTTAACCCTAAAGGAATATGCAGAAAGGATTCTTTGTTGCACTTACCTTATGTGCTGACAGTCTCAGTCTTTCATGTAATTTTCTTAGCATGTATGAGATGTGCAGAATTAGCAATACCTCTAACCTATAGCAGGGGAAATTCACACTGTACTTGAAGATAGAGCCAAATAAATCCAAAAGGACCAGAAGCTGCCTTGATACTCAGGCCTGCAGGACCTCACACCTAGGTATTTGCTCTGAACATGGGATTCACAGGTCAGTGATAGATACCTGGGTTTCCTCTCTCTGGGTAGAGGGGGTGTGGGACAAGAATTTGGGAGGACATTTCAGGACTAGTGCTGGAGGAGAGAAAAGCAGGTCCTTCCTTTCTGCCTCCGTTCCTTCCTTGTTCATGTATTCTCCCCAGCTGTTACGGTGCAGCAAACTGAGTGGGGAAACAGATTGGTCAAACAGTTTTTGGAAGGAGGGAGACCTGAATATTTCATAACTAGTCATTGGGTAATAGGCGTACGTAGCCCTTGAAGCTATATCTTTCCTTTCTCACAAGTACCTCAGCTGTTAGACTGTCTCCTTCGTGTTCTCTTTATGGACCACTAAGTTTAATCTTTCTTTCCTTGTCCTTTTCCTTGCTTATGGAAAATAGTTTGTAAGTTACTAGCTAGATGACAGGTGTGGGACTGAACTTCTTCAGGTGTGAAGTTGGATCTGTTGTGTCCCGAATAAGCACTTTATCATGGGTAGTGGAAAATAGGCTGCAATTATTTTTCCTTATTGAACTGAAGTGGTGACTGCCACCGAGTCCTGTGTGGAATGTATGCATGACTAGTCTTGGGGCTGCTGGTGAGGATGAAGTGCGGCAAAGTGCTGACTTAGAAGGCTGATTTTTTCCATCCCCATACTAATTTGTTGCTTCTTCAGTTCTATCTGCACAACCCTTAATGGCTGTAATGTAAATCCTTAATGGCTCTAATGTAAATCAAATCCCTGATATAATGTAATTTTAAAAGAATCATTTATTAATGGGGTGAATTTGGGGAATCTGGGTTAAAATACAGTTCAACCAAAAAAAACCAAAACCAAACCAAACCCACCTGTTTCAACACAATTGTGAGTGTGATAAATTGTGGTAGGCAGCAAGAATTTCCCAAGCATTTTCTTGCTGAACAGCCCTCTGTTCTTTCCACCTCTGTTTCTTTAGCAGGGCTGCTGATTTAAGAGTTGCTTTCACTGAGTACTTCTTGCTTAATCACTATGGGAATGGCACCCAGTTTTGCCAACATAATGTTTGTTATAGTTACGTGTTACATTTTCACATATGTGAATTCCTTCATTCAGTTTTCAAAAAGGCCACAAAGAAAACTTGTTCCAGCTTGTCAGAGAGCTGGTGGTGGAGCAGAACAAGTGACTCACGGTGGGTGAGAAGAAGTTGACACAGCTTAAATAAAGAGCTAACCACAGCTTCTGGGAGTGCTGGTTGACAACTGGCTGAACATGAGCCAGCAGTGTGCCCAGGTGGCCCGGAAGGCCAGTGGCATCCTGGCTTGTATTGGGAACAGTGTGGGCAGCAGGAGCAGGGATGTGATTCTGCCCCTGTGCTCAGCACTGGTGAGGCCTCACCTCGAGCCCTGGGTGCAGGGCTGGGCCCCTCACTGCAAGAAAGACACTGAGGGGCTGGAGCGGGTCCAGAGGAGAGCAACGAGGCTGGGGAAGGGACTGGAGGGAAAGTCCCATGAGGAGAGGCTGAGGGAGCTGGGGGTGTTCAGCCTGGAGAAGAGGAGACTCAGGGGGGACCTCATCACTCTCTACAACTGCCTGAAGGGAGGTTGCAGTCAGGTGGGGGTCGGGCTCTTCTCCCGGGCAACCAGTGACAGGATGAGAGGGCACGGCCTGAAACTGCATCAGGGAAGGTTTAGGTTGGATCTCAGGAAGCATTTCCTCTCGGAGAGGGTGCTCAGGCACTGGGATGCACTGCCCAGGGAAGGGCTGGAGTCACTGTCCCTGGAGGTGTTTAAGGAGATGCTGGATGTGGCACTTAGTGCCGTGGTCTGGCCGATGTGGTGGTGCCGGGTCATCAGCTGGACTGGATGATCTCAGGGGGTCTTTTCCGGCCTCAACAATTCTGTGATTTTGTGATTCAGAAAGCGCATTTAAGAGCATGTTTTTCAGCTATCTAGGCATATAACAAAATCAAAAACAAACAAAAAAACAAAACGCAACAAAAAAACTTCAGGGGACATTTTCTGCTGAAAATTTAGACTTGGATTTTGAGGAGCTCTGTCTTGAAATGAGCTAAGTCTCTTGGTGGATTTAGCCCTAAGCATGCTGCCTGAAATAATGACATGTTTGTGAAAGCAGGGGTCTGGATGCAGATCATGTGAATCCGTGTCCTTTCAGATATTATAGGTAGGTCCAGAGTATTTTACAAATTGACTGCATTGTTGAAAATTAAGTAATAGTCAGTCAACTGTGAACAAGAAAAGATGCTGCCCTTGGTGTACATAATTAGGATTCATCTCCTTTATGTCCTAAGACCATGCATTCCTATTACATTTTCTCTGTTCCTCTTTTCTCCTAAGCTGCTGTGTGTATGGACAGGGATAATTTTTCTCCCCATCCACTCTTGCTTTTCCCCTGTGTTGACTTCTAACTGTGATGGATCTCATTTCAGACACATAAGGCTTCATGCAGTAGGAATGGTGATATAATGATGCATTTCTTGATGTTTTTTTCCATGCTGCATGTCCACACTTTTTTTTACTGTCCTTATATGCCAAGCCTGGTTCTAGCTGCCTTAGGCTAACTGTGAAGTCCTTAGCATGTGTTGCAGGAAGAGCTATCATTCCTTCCATTGATTTTGCAATTTGCAGGGTCTCAGTAGATGTCTGTTCTTTCTTAACCATCTGGCTGCTGTAGGTGCAATTACTGATTGATCTTTTTGTCTTGTTAGTTGAAAAGTGCAAAATTAACTGATTGTCCCTTTTTCACATGGGTTTAGATTAGGTTTGGAGGAAGAGAAGATGTATACGAAGAGAAATAAAATGGCAAGGGGATATATATCAAAATAAATTACGTACATCAGTTTTAAAATCACATGTGATTTTTATTTTGTCATCTGCAGATAGAATTGCTGCACCTTAATATTGTGTGAACTAAGGTTTCTGTTATTGTCTCCGGCAGAACTTCCAACAGCAGTCACACCTTATCATCTTGTCAAACTATGGAGCCCTGTACCTCAGATGAATTTTTTCAGGCTCTCAACCACGCTGAACAAACTTTTAAAAAGATGGAGAATTATCTTAGACACAAACAGCTATGTGATGTGGTGTTAGTTGCTGGTGATCGTAGAATTCCAGCTCACAGGTAAGTTAATTATAATTTGAAGTGACTTCATATTCATTTACAAATGCACCTTCAAAGCATGACTTTTGTTTTGCTTAAAAAAGATCAGAACGTGCTAAACAATTTAAAATACTTTAAACATGCTTATGTTTTTGACATTTATTTGGAAACTAAATGTTAACTTCTGCTGTATGTGATACAGCATCAAAAATAACTGCAATATTTTCATGTTCTGCTTTTTTGTTTTCAAGCATATATTAAGATATTTGCATAACAAAATAAACCCCCCAAAATCCCAACTGCACCCTCAATATTTTAAGTAGGTTTTTTTCTGTACCATAGAATGATGTAAAATTTTTTCCTATATTTTTTTCTTTTTGAACAGTTAAGTTGTTGGAGTCTCAATTAGCTTTCTTCTGCCTGCATAAAGTTTTTTTGCTCCCACAGGAAGAATCCTTTGATAGTAGACAACTGAAGACTGACAGTAGGTGTTAAATGGCTAAACTAGGTCAAATGTTACCCTATGTCATTTGCAAAATTAACAGATCATATAGCATGCCACTTAAAAGCTAGGGAAATACCAAAGATTGTGAAATAAAAGTCTGAATAAGTGAAGCATGTTTCAGTATTTAAGGCACAGTATTAATAGTTCAGATGGGAACCTAGGTATAATTAAGCTGTGGTTTTGTAAGATTAGGTCTACAACATAAATAGCAGCCTGAAGCGTTCCTCTTTTCCATTGCTCATTCCTACCACCACAGTGAAATTACAGTGTAATGCTGTAATAGTAATAAAAAGATGAGAAGAGGTTGCTGGTTTGTGTTCAGTATTTTTCTTAAAAAGCCAGTTCTCTGCGTTATTCAGTTATCATCCACAATGTTATGCTGACGCAACTGAGGGAATGATAGCACGGGGATGGGAACTGACTTGAGGAACAGGGAATGATGAAATTTCATTTGTAAACAATCAAGACTATCCCTGATTTTTCTATGTTGATTTAAGCAAATCCTACTACAATTACTGCTAAAATGGGTGGTCCTGCTCTCCACCCAACCCATGACCTGAATTCCTTTGTAAACACTTATAGCCAAATAGCTGTGGATGACATTGAATCCTTTTTGAAGAGACAATAGGGTGAGCAAGATGATTTGGCTTTTCCTGTGGCTGCAAAGCTGCTTAAGATTGGTCTTCAGTTTGTTCAAATTGGTTGCAAAACTGCATTGTCCCTGTGGAAAGAGGGAATCAAATTAAAACAGAATGCACACACCCTTAGTGGATTTGCACCTGCTGAAGTGACTTAGAAGTCAAATAGCTTTGGAGAGCTGCAACAAGAAAAATTGTGTTAATAATAAGGAAATAATTTTATTTCTTATGTGGCCAATGTATCGCCGTTGATGTATGACAGTTCTAGAGTATGGCTTATGTAGTAGTTAGAAAGTGTAGAAAGGATGCAGAATGGAAGATTTTTCTTATTTTTTTTTTTTGCAACAAGATAAACAGAAATACAGTGTGCTAAAACGTTCTTTCATGTGGTTCCTACCTGTTTCTCATTTATTTAAAGAACTGACTTTGCTCTTCCAGTTTTTGCTACTGTATCTATTTCTGTAGTGCATTAAGCATGTGTTACCACCTGTTATTTGCTCTGGTCTTCTCTTAAGAAACACCTTGCTGTAGTGATAGCTTTATATTAACAAGGTGCTATTGCTACTAACGGTGTGGTTGTTTTGAAAAAAAAAATTACTAAAGGTTATGTTGTAATCATCATTTCAGTGTCAGAAGCACCAAATGACTTTTGAAAGGTTTGATTTACCTGGAAGAGAGCTATAAATGAAAATAATTTTAACATAAGCATCCTACATATATTTTTAGGTATTTCTCGCTTTGAAACAAATTTTATTTAAATAAATGCAGTTCTATTAGTAGTGTGGGATATTGCCACTTTAATACATTCTTTTTATTACTGGCAACCTTTGGAATAAAAAATAGAAATTATCTGAAGCTACCAGTGTATTAATTAGGTGCTTCATACTAGGATGCACGAACTGTTCAGTATCTCCTTACACCTGCAGTAAATGCTAGTAGTGAGTTCTTTAGGATTGTTTTCAGCTGTTCCACAGCTACAAACAAGGATTTGCCTAGCAAGTGTCCCTTTTTTATCTTAAAGATGTTAAGAAGCTTCACATCATTCTGTCAGGTGAATCAGGTCAGGAGATACTAAATCTGTAAATTGCCAGGTTTGACAACTATCAGCATGTCATGTAATAATTGCTTTCAAGACCTAGAAAACTGTCTAGACGATGCAGCTTGTGGCAATTCCAAGGAATACAATTTAATTCAAACATGCAGCCCTGCTGACATGTATTTTACTGGCTATCTGTATAAAACTCATCAAAACAAGTTAAGTCATCATGGTGGATCTTTCTGGGTTTCGATCAGTACTAACCATAGAAATTAAAGGCATTAGTAGTACTGGCACCTCCTGTAAGGACAGGGAAACCTACTGAAACCCCCAGATTTTATCAATATTTAGCCCATAGCTGTTGAGTGGTTTTACTGGAGAGATTAATCGTTCAGACATCGTATAATCTCCCAGATGAAAAATTCCAGTATTCATGTGTTCCTTTTCTCTATGTCTTTCCTGTGGACTGAAAAGAGGAGGCAACCTACTGCATGTAATTCGGGAGCCAAATTCTTGTAATCTTAGCTATGTAGAATTGAGTATTTGGCAGTAGGTGGTGATTAGGTAAGGAGGAGGGTAAAGGTAAATATGTTCCACATCCATAGTCGATGAATACAGTGCCACCTGTTTTAAGGCTTTTTCTTGTGCCTTTTTTTTGTGTTGTTGTTGTTGTTGGGTTAGGGGGGGTTGTGGTTTTATTTTTTGGGGGGGGGTACTGTTAAGAGCCCTCTCTAATGTCAATATATACTGATTTCATAGGTATTTTAGTTGGGCCAATTATAAAAGAAATATTATTCTTAGGGGAAAAAAAGACTGCATACTCAGAATACAGAAAACATAGCTTTCTTCAGTTTCTAAACTGAGGAAAGGCAGGTTTTTTGTAGTACCAACAGTTCCCAGTGAACTCGTGATATGGATGAATATGATAATTTTAATTATTAATAAATAACACAAAGAGATTCTCTTTATATTAAATATTAACAGAACCATGATGGCTCTATTTAACAAGGAGATTGTGAATATGAATGTAGGCAATACAGTCATTACATAGATTTTCTTTTGAAAAATCATACTTGTCACTTAGGTCTTTTTAAGAAAAAGATCAAATATGGATGGGGAAAGTCTTTGCTGGATTATTCAGTTACATGAAGGTATCAGCTGCTTCACATTGTATAATCTGTATGTAGGAATGCAGGTTAATTTCAGGCAATCCGAAAAAGGTTGGAAGAAAAATCAGTTACTAGCTATGAGATTAAAAGATCAATGAACAAGGGAGTGTCAAATAGCATGAGTAAAGTAGTAATTGATTTTTATTGACTAGTGGGAAAAACATAGGACAAGAAGAGACCAGTTGGCTGAAAGTCTACCTCTGTTTTCTTTTATGGTGGCTCAGTGTCACCTTGATGCATTGTCGCTGTATCTTTTAATCCCCTTTCTTTCATTGGAAGAACTTCTCTCATTTAGATGAACTAAAAGTATGGATACCTGATCTAAGACTTTTCATTGTGAACATGCTTCTTGGCTAAAATCATTAGAAAAGTGTTATGATACAATATGCCAAAGCATAAACTATCAATCTACTCTTGGGCTGCGCACACCCTGTTTTGGCAGCCACAAATCACTCCCTGGAAGGCCCTTAACACTGTGAAGTACGTATGACCTCTCATGAATCTGAATGCAAGTTTGCAAAATGGTAAATGGATTGTGTTTCAAATTTCACATAATTTCTTCTGTAGGACTTATAGATTGGAAACCGCTGATATCAAACAGCTGATAGAAGGTGTTTCTGTGAAGCCTTGGGCTACTATGTGGCATTTCTTCAACAGCTGATGCTAGGATATGTACAGTCCAGCCATTTTCTAAATAGTAGTGCAACTAACTAATCTAGTTCCACTGCTGGGGGAAGAAAAAAAACTCACAAACACTCAACAGCAAACAAACCCCAAACTGTTTTAAGATTAAGTTTTAGGTTCTGTTTCCCATCACAGAGACTTTTCTTTATCAAACTCTACTCCGTTTGGAAGTCACTATTGCCAGAAGAAAATATTTTAAATTGTTTTGGTTTTTTTTAAAATTCTGAATTGGACCTACAAAGATACTTGGGTTAATCAAAACTGTCCATCTACCCATTTTCCCTTCCAATGAGAATCCCTATTTTGTACATACAAATTTGATCTTGTCAGCTCATTCTGACATCAAAAGCAGTTGCAGAAACTCTTCCTTGATGCTTACATTAATGTACTCTCTAATTTCACTAAACTTCTACAGATCTTTAGGAAGCAATATTTTCATTCAACTGTAGGTGTCATTAAACCTGCCTAGAAGTGATGCCTGGACCCTACCTTGGCAGAATGTTCTAATTTTTCTCAGCAAGTCAGCCACAGTGTAAATGTTTGGGGTTTTTTTTAAAGAACATGTTGTTCTTGAAATAAGAGAACATTATTTCTTGTTACAAAGCTTCAATCACACAAGATGTTAAAGTAAAATTAATCTGTTCCCTGTATACTCTTAATCCACCTGTTTCCTCAGCAATTATAAAAAAAGAATTGCTCTACTGTAGGCCTGACCAAATGGTCAATAGTCAGAAAATTAGCAGGAAAAAAAAGTAGTCGATATTAGTGAACAATTTATTATTTTGTAGTTGATTAACTAAGAGACCATTCTTTGTAGTTCATGACTTGTGTATGTACCTGCAAATCCTCCCCATTAATACACGTTTAAACTTACTTCTAAGCACTGGTGCTTGCCTTTTCAATTTTATGCTGTTTTGTGGTTCCTGACCTCTGTCATCTTAGCAAGCCAATATAATGACTCAACACAGAATAAACTGTCATTTTGTGAAGTATGAGGCTCACTGAATGTATGTGGAAGGGCTGTGGTAGTGTATTTGCAGTATGCTGGAACCTTGGGCCTGCTGTTTGTATAGCTCCGTACCTACACAGGTGCGTTTATATCTGAATTCCCTGCGAGCAGTACAGCAGTGAACGGCTGCAGCACAGAAATAGATCCCAACCACAAAGCTATTCCTGAAGGTCTCTTAGGGAAGAGACCAGCGCTCACCTCATAGATAGTTGGACTGGGTTTCATACAGCAGAACTGGGGACTGAATATGACTGAGAGAACTGGGGCTGTTTAGCCTTGAAAGGAGACGGCTGAGAGGGGACCTTATTAATGTGTATAAATATCTGAGGAGTGGTGTCAAGAAGAATGGGACAATCGCTTTTCAGTGGTGCTGAGCAATAGAACAGGGGTTTAAGTTAGAACACAGGAAGTTCCACCTCAGCATGAGGAGAAACTTTTTTACTGTGAGGGTGACAGAGCACTGGCACAGGCTGCCCAGAGAGGTTGTGGAGTCTCCTTCTCTGGAGACTTTCAAAACCCTCCTGGACACGTTCCTGTGTGGCTGCCCTTGGGGATCCTGCTCTGGCAGAGGGGATTGGACTAGATGATCTCTAGAGGTCCCTTTCAGTCCCGAACATTCTATGATTCTATGAATATTCCTGCTCCACATGAGTTCCTTTATCTTCCACTCCAGCCCTGTGAACATACACTGAGGCATCAAAACTCCTCCACATTTTGTGGAGTGGCGTTGTTACGTGTACTTGGTGTTTTACTCTCAGTAATCAAAAAAAATGCCTGGTGTGCACTGACATGTTCACTTAGTATCTTAAAATACTCAAAATTGTTATACAAATGGCTAAATGCATACCTACAAAAGAGATCTTCCTGTACCTTTTCCATGTTTACCGTGCCACGTTCTGTTACCATTATCAGTTAATGAATGCATATGTGTGCACTAAGAGTAAAAGCATTTTAAAGCACTTTGAAAAGGACTAGTAAGTCATTCTTTTACATTTAAAGAAATAACTGACATAATATAAATGGAAGTAAATTAAATTCTTTTAATATCCATTATATTTATTTATGTTTAATTTCCAATTTACATGTGTTTTTCTGGGTTGTTTCTGTGTTGGCTATTAAGAGTCATTGAGCTTTGAAAGGGTAATTCATTTACTTCAGCAGCAAATGTAGATTGGGTAACAGTACTTCATTATTCATAGAGGGGACCTAGAGCATGGAGCAGTTTGTCAATTTTTAAATGTTTTTCTCAATACAGTGTTTCTTCAAAGGGTGAAGTAATGAATCATAAATTAACAAATATCAGGTTGACTAAGTTGTTTTTCTTTTTGTTTTTGCTTCCTTTTCTCCTGCACGATATGCTCAGATTGGTTCTCTCCTCTGTTTCGGACTACTTTGCGGCGATGTTCACTAACGATGTGAGGGAAGCAAGACAGGAAGAAATCAAGATGGAAGGTGTGGAGCCAAATGCATTGTGGGCTCTGGTTCAATATGCATATACAGGTAATTAGAATGAAAATGGGAATTTCGCATAGTGAATTGTCCTCCTGGGAGTATTATATTCCATTACGAAATGTCAAATGCTCTGTAGGAATTATTCTTCATGTTATTTAACTCCTTATAAATAAATAAAAAGAACTCATCATTGCCAGTACCTAAGGCGACCTGGTAGGATATAGTTTCTCTGATAATACTATACTCAGTTAAAAAATTATGTGAATATTTCAGATGTATTGTGACTGACAAAAATTGAATCTCATTAGGATTCCTTTTCCTTACATCATTGTAGGGACTGATTTTGAAAAGCTATTTATCTGTTGCTGAAGGTAGTGTTTGCTAAGCCTTATATTCTGTCATATCATCCATAAATAATTCTTTTTTCCTCTGAGTTTTAGGGAACTTAACAAATGATATCAGCAAACTAACGTGATCTCCTTTTTAATGTTATTAGGTCGCCTTGAATTAAAAGAAGATAATATTGAGTGCCTGTTGTCTACAGCTTGCCTTCTTCAGCTCTCTCAGGTTGTAGAAGCATGCTGTAAATTCCTAATGAAGCAGCTTCACCCGTCCAATTGCCTTGGAATCCGATCTTTCGCTGATGCGCAGGGTTGCACTGACTTGCACAAGGTGGCTCACAATTACACTATGGTATGTTGTTATTTTAAGTTATTGTGTGCTTTATTTACTTAGGAAAATACAGAATGTTTTCCCTGAATAAAATACTAATGTTTTTCCCCGGAAAGCCTTGATCATTTTCCAAGCAAGAATGCACATATGTTCCGTGTGATGATAAATGGCAAAATTAAGTACAAAGTTTCTGGATTAGTGTTGGGAGGAAATAGGCAAGCATTACTATTCACTATAATGGTAATGGGATTTTGTGGTATGTGTTTAATAAAATAAGTCAAAAGATTGTTTATATTTCTGTCAGTCAAAAGCTACAAACTTAACAGTGGGCAAGCTGCTGTCAATTAGTCCAAAATCACACATTGTTAAATGAAACTGTAGAATTCTTGGTTTGTAATGAACTGGAGTAAACAAGTTCTGAGTTATACTTGGGGTATGACTGTGAGCATTTATCAGTGTAGATTCTGCATTATCCTTAATCTGATAGCACCAAACAATTTAATCTTAGGCTAGGCAATATGTGACTAAACACAAATTTACCAGTAGTATTTTCAGGATTAATTTATAGAAAGACTGATTTGCCAGCTTAATTAAACTTCATCTTTTTAATAGCCATCCTTTTATTTTAATGTAAAATGTTCTATTTTCCTTCTCACGAGCATATTTTAGTGATGTTATCAGCACAAGAAGGCAAGAGAATTCTCTCTGAGGCAAGTCAGTTCATCTGCTCTTTTCCAGTTTTGTGAGGCATTTTTCTCTCTTCTTGATGAAATTTCATCTACGTAAGCTCCTGGGACCTGAATGAGGGCGTGTAGACACTGCATGAGAGATGTGGGAATGAAGATAGTACTTCATTTGCCTGTGTGGCATGGCATTGCTGTTAAGCTATTGGCTTAGATCCAAAAGGTGTAGTTTCTGTTTTGTACTTGGTATTAGAAATCCATGGCTTTTCCTCTTGCCACCTTAGTTTTTGCTGGTTTAAAACCTTTTTTTGGTAATTATTTGTTCTTGGCTTAAAATAACTTAGTTTAATATGTGTAACAAATAGCTTTTTCTAATATATAAATGATACAATGTTCTTCCTCAGTGAGTGGATCTCTGATTTATTTACAGTCATGTACACACTGAAATTTACCAAACTATGGTAATAAATAGTGTGCAGATTGTTACTTACATGTTTCTTTTCTTGATCTTCATTATTGCTCCAGCAGTAATAAGGAGACTGCGTTAGGGAAATAGTCAGTTGAACCAGTAAAGAGAAACGTGGCTTTTGCCTTTGAGGAATATTAGAATCAACGTTGAGTGAGACAGGAATACAAAAAGTAGGTACAAAGAGAACCTCCCTTCTCTGACCTATTTGTTCTTTTTCAGAGTAAGCATTTATTTTGGTCTGTGCTGTTGTCACGTCTCTTCTAAGTGGACTGCCAAGATCAGAATGGTAATAAATGTTCGGCTAATGCATCTTTGAAGATGCATGTTAGGGATTATAGTCTTACTATTTTGACTGGCAGTTGAAGACTTCTGGTAGAAAGGGGTTGTGGGCTTCCTAAAAGATGTTCTTTCATAGCACCTATTTTTCTTTTGTTCAGACAACAGGAAAACAGTTGTATGTCTTTTGGCCGTTTGTTGTTTATTTCAGTGGCAAAATTGTTGCTTTTGAGACTTAGACGTGGATAAAATGCAAATTAGGTGGATTTTAAAAAGCCATTTTCAAAACTAATTAGTTGTGCTAGATGGATTCTTCCCAAGGCCTCTTTTAATGTTGTTTAGTTCCAACAGAGACATGAAATTGAATTTTAGTAATAATGAGTAATAGAGAAGCAGCTTCTTTAGTTTGAAATGACTGTTGCTATGGAAACAGCATAGAAATGTATAGTCCAATTGAATTTTCAATTAAAATAAATCCCCAAGTAATTTCATTTGTTTAAAAGCTGTTTGAAAAAGGAAAATGTTCCACAGCAGTAAGTGCTAGCCACTTGATACTCTTTCCATCAAGAAGTATTAGAGCGTAGGGGTTAAGCGCACCAGTAGCACCTGGAAATTCTGTTTGTTAAAACAATGGATTATTTTTATGCTGCAATGGGCAGCATAGAACAATGGGGGCTTATACTGAGGATAGTGTATACTTCTGTCTTTTTCATGGGATTTTGGTTCTTTTAAAGCACTTGCAGTAGCGAGTAATGAATAATATAAGATACTTAAAATTTAATTTATGTGTGGATTTTTCTGTGAGTTGCCATAAAATTGTTTTCCTGCAATTAAAACAGCTTCTCAGTTTTAAAAGTTTTTATGACACAATCTATAATTTGATAATTCTGCTTCATTAAAATAGTTCTTTACATGAAGACTAGAAATTCAGATGAAATGAGCATTTGGTTAACTCACTGCTTGATCCTTCAGTTTATCCTGGTATCATAGAATTATAGAATGTTTGGGGTTGGA